AAGAAATAAAAAAATATATTATTTTTTAAGAAACAACTAATCAATTAAAATTAAACCAATTAAACTAACTGTCACGTATTTTTGTAATTTTAAACTTAAAAAATTATAAAATAGTTACTATTTTTTTAACAAATTGAAAATTAAATTAATCATCACATTTTTTTGTAATTTTAAACTCAAATAATTGCCAATTGTTAAGACGATTGAACTAAACATTAACTTTAAATTGAAGCAAATTATTCAATCAAGTTTTTTTTTTTAGAGATTCACTCACTCCTAATAGACAGACTTTGAGTTAAATTTTTGAGGTTCATTGAACTAAAAATTTGACACATTTAAATTAATGAAGCTTCATTTATTGTTAATTTGTATTATTAGTATTAATAGAGTTTTAAAATACTACAAATCTTATCCAATCAAATTCTTTTATTAAAAGAAATAATAATAATAATTAGCATATCTTATATAAATTATGGAAGAGGGTAAAATGGGAAGTGATGAAATGGATGCCGATGGGTTCTTTTCTGCCTTGTCAGTCTTAGCTGTCACTGACATGCTTTTTTAGAAAGTGTCTGGATGCACACCAAATCAATTATATAAATATGTACATACAAATATATATATAATATTTAAAAAAAAAAAAGAAAAAAAGAAAAATTCATATAATGTAGAAATCCTTAGCATTGCTTTATGTTTTGTTCATTCCAATTTTATATTGATAAATAATGTAATTTAATTTTTAAATAAAAATATATATATAACAATCTCAGAAATTTAAAAGAAAATATATAATAATTTAAGTAAAAAAACGAAATAAAAAGTTAAAATTTACATCTCTTACACAATAACTTAAAAGTACTAAACAAACATCACGAAATAAATTCTCTTAAAGAAACACGAGAAATGAGAAAAGCAAAAGAAAATATAAAGTATCTAGCACCTACTCGCAGTATTCTTGCGGATCGGCCTCGAGAATCAGGTCCTTTTGATCTGAAATAGTTAAATAAAGAATGAGCTACACTAGCCCAGTAAGAACATCACACTATATCACCGGCACAAAAGTAAAGGTTTGTAGAAAATCAAAATAACAAATAAAGCAGTAGATTTAAACCAATACATTTATTTAAAATAAAACCATTTACTCTTTTACTTACCATTGAGGAATTTATAAAAATAAATTATAAAAGTAATAATATCATACAGATCATAACCTCATGTACGACTAACAACATAGAACATATCATAA